TACAAGGTTGATAAAACACATGCCGAAAAGTGGACTTCGAAAGATGCAAACAAATAGTTGCTTGGCTGGTTTGTGCACAATCCTCAATTCTACGATGGAGTGGGCACGATATGCCGAGAAGACAGAGACAAAGAACAGATGTAAGCCTGAAAAAAAAAGAAAATTCCAAGACATTAATATCCACTTTTGGTGCACTTCATTTATGCGTCAATTTGGGAAGGGTGAAATATGCATAATTGGGACATGAGCCAAACTTTGTCTTGTTTTCACGAATGCCAGGACAAATTTACATTTAGCCTACTCATATTCTTACAAGTAATATTTCGCGTTTTTTATATTTACGTGTTGGAATATACTATAGAATAGTTAGTTTTCTTTCCATTTTTGCGGCATATAGCAAATAAGTTTATGGGTTTGTCAGTACTCGTAGGAAATTGGAAATAAATGAACTGTTGTTGCCTTGACATTATGTCATTACGGCTTGGCTTTTATTTGTCCGTTAGGCGGACATTCGGCCATTCGTCAATGAGGAATAGCTTGTCTGCACGTCGAAAACCCTCGATTTAGCCCCACTTTTGTGCATTCAATGTATGTACAAACCAATTAGCATCATCACCTGAATCTCATCGCAGTGCTCCACTCACGGTTTCAACTACAAAGTAAACTAGGACATGGTCATCCGAGCCAGTATCTACAGCTCAGCGGACAGCGGAACTAAAGCAGTATTACGGGGTCTTTGACATATTCTGGTCCATATTCTTTTTTCATATTTTCCTGTTTCCAGCTGTGAGGGTAGGTGACAGTTTAGGCAAGGCCGGAAAGTCGTCTTGACTCAGCGTTCAAATGAAGCTCCTGCAAGAAGCAGCTCAAGCGCTGAGGATGTCTTGTCCATTTTGGAGAGAGCTGGACCCATTTTCACCCCAAAACAAAAATGGGGCATCATGGACTCTCTTCTTCTGACCGGAATGCCTCACGAATCTCTCCATCAGACGCACATTCATACAAACTGCAAGTTTCCATAAAAGGCAGTTAATCTTGGGAAATTCAGCCATCATTCCTACATCGTCTGAGCCAACCTAAGTTGACTTATGCCCAATCAAGTGGGCGCAAGATGATACCTCGGTTGGATATACATGTTCAGAGGCAACTGGACAACCAGCAGACGACCTCCTCTATGCATACACTAATACACCATCGTGACAATTAGGTCGGTGGTACTAACAAAAACGGAGGCATTTCATACACTACCACATCTTGGAACTGACCGGAAGCAGTGTTTTCTGCTTCCGGCCGGTATGAACATTCAGGATTACATGCTAATTGGCAGACTCGTGGTAAACATGTGAAAAATGTCAGCAATCCATCTTTATTGTGGCCTGCATCATGACAATATGGGTCACAGATGGTACTGCTGATGGGTATTTGGCTATATCCAGTACAAATTGTATGCAGTCGTCTTTGCGGTACCGATTTCCGTTGTCGACATGGTCAGTCGCCAAGATTGCCTCAAATTGTTCGGACGAGAGGAAGTGAAAGACATGGTCAGATGCCCCAAACCACTCGTTGCGACAATTTAGAATTGAGCGGCTTTGATCAGGCGGACATTGAAGTGACTAATTCGCTTCTGAACCTTCTGGTGCACTGTTCGAAGCCCGCGGAATTCGCAGCGATCGGCTGAGGCCAAGATCGCGGTACGCTCTTTGTATGCTTAAATGCTATCAGTAGCTTTAGTTAATTGAGGTTGCTTGCTCTTGTTTTCGCAACATGGTCATGTTGGTAGGAAGACTTAGAGGAACCCACCTAGTCCGGAGTCGCCATTCTTAACACCACACAACAACTCGTCAAAGAGACAAGTGAAGCTGATCCTTTGACCAAACGTATGCTAAACAGTTGTGGTATCTCCCCTTCCTTAAGTCTTCCTACCAATATGACCATGTTGCGAAAGCATGGTCAAGCAACCTGTATACAACGAACGGAGACTGCGACCACACAAAAGGCCACACCATCTTGGTCTCCATACTTTTGCTTAATTGAGTTCGTTTAGGTTGACTAAATGGCTGATAGCGAAGTTTACAACAAAAAGGAGACTTCATCCAGGACGAACTGCATGTTTTATATTACCTGTGCCTCATCAGCTTCGCCAACGCGATTCGGAAGCATGTATTGTTAATATAATCGACAACACTACTGATGTTCGGCATGAGTATGCTTCGGGACTTTCAGTAATTCTCGAATAATGATTTGAGCCAGCTTGAATATCTCAATGTACTTTTGTGACTACCAGATTCTTATAAAAAAATAATTTCTAGTTTCGAAAATAATATAAGTAATATTAAATCACCTGTACTTTTGCTGAGGAGCTGATGACGAAAATTCCCATTTGGCCATCAACAGTGGACTTGGCATCAAATTCACCTTCTCTCCCACCAAAATAATCACCCAGAGTGTGTAAAATGGACGGTCATAGATAAAATCATAATCCATTTTTTTCTGCCCATGCAGGAAGAAATTGAGATGCTCAGCTTTTAGTGAAAAGAGATTCAAAGTTAAACTCATTTGCATCATAGGCTTAGTCATATGATTTGGGGAAAGACTCCATCAGCAGTCCTTAAGTTACCGCAAGCGATCTAAGCTGACCAGTTTCATAGTCAAGAATGACTGATAGTCTCGAAGCAGACCCAAATTTAAAACATTGGTAATATGAGAGATAGATTGTAATAGTGTGTGTGTGTGTGTATGTGTGTGTTTGCTAAATTTATTAGCAGTTGACGCAACCCAAAGCACTTCTGGCTTTGTGACAGACTTCAATTATCCAAGGCAGAGAGTAGAATTTTCGTTAATAGTTTATATGATTGGGCACAGAAGACGTGGAAACACCGAATCATAGCGTTTTATGGGAAATTTCAGCGGCTTGCTAGAAATTGTCGCCATAGCCTTCTGTCGATGCCACAAGAAGGGAGATGCTTGAAAAGATAATTTCGACCCAGGAACCAACTCATTTTGCTCTGCCTATGGGAGGCTAGATTGTATGCGAGCCCAGATGCATGTGAAGCAGAAGAAAACAGGAATAAATACCAAGTGAAACGTGGTTACATCCAGAAAGTCAGTTTTCTCACTAACACACACAGTCCAACGAACATGATCTCTATTGCCACTACCACAACCACAACCACCATCATGACCGCGAGCAAAACCAATATCACACCCACTACCGGCAACACCACACTGATGGTCACCACTACTACCACGAACACAGACAATATCAATTTCACTATCAGCAACATCATTACCGCTACCCCAGCCAGCATCACATCCACTATCCTCATCCCCACGATCACCATTCACCTCACAACTGCCGTTAATATCCCCATCATCATTACAAATATCATCAACACCATCATCATTAACATAGGCACCGGTACCAACAGCACCGCCAACTGCTAATTTCACCAAATAGTCTGTCAATAATGCGAGGCTTGTTTGGGAGACTTTCATTTCGTATGAAAGTGGGTGAAGTATGCGTTAACAATCACACACACGCACATACCCTCGAGGAAAAGTGGCAGGACCAATAGGATGGATAATTGGCAAGACAAGT